CGTTTGCTGCCTTTATCGCTCGATCTCCCCTTCCCGGCTCGCGCGACTCCAACCACTTCTCCAGCTCCAACTCTTCTCGCCTCTCTAACTTCTATCGAGCTCATAGGCAGAGCGAGCCAGAGGAGTGTCGAGGGAGAAGAAGGCGATGCTTGGGTGTATTTGGTCTGATCCAGAAGAGGGAGAAGGAGAAGAAGAATCGCGAAAGTAGATGGAAAGGAAGAATCGCGAGAGGAGCAGCGGCGAAGATTGAGGTTGGGGAATAGATTAGGATTGAAGTTTGGTAGGATAGGGTGATTTTTTGTCATTCAAACGGCTGTGTTTTGGGGTGGAAGAGGAGATCCGGTTTTTTGGTTTAAACCGGATCAATCCAGTCCGGTCACGGTTGAAACCGGGTAACAATCCAATCCCGTCTTCGGTTGTGGAGTTCTCCAATACGGTTGTAAAAAACCGGGTCAATCCGGTCCGGTTTAAACCGAACCGGACTGTTTCCCAGCCCTACTTGTAAGTATCTTTTTAATGAATAAAAAAAAGTGTTACTTGTGTGGTAATTTACCGAAATAACATGTTTGACAAATACTAAATTAGAATGACCCATGTGATGGAGTGCTGAGTTCAGTGAGTTGGCACTTGGCAAGGTACCTGTTCCCAATGCAGTCAAAAGCGCGATTCTATCTAGAAGCGGAAAAGGGGTAAAATCGTAAAGCGTAGAATCAAAGCAAAAAAGCGTAAGTTTTTGACGCATACTGAAAAATAACTAAAAATCCATTAAGTAGGACATATGCTATGCAAAATATGAATGCACAGATAAGTTAATAAATACATGCGATTCATGCCTAAAGTAGAACAACTTATAGCATCATAATAATAAGTTCGTAAACATAAATTTTAACAATAAACCACTTTTCCCTCTATGCTAATGAATTTGGGAAAAGTCTAGCTGGTGAATTAGATTACTCTATTGAAGTTGAGAATGCATCCAAGTACCTGATATGTATCTTCTAATCTCAAATGTATCATATTATTGGTGATTTACTTTTAAAATATAATTTTTATAATTAATTTCATGAAAAGAATACTCATTTAGTGAACTAAAAAGCGTAAAAACGTAAAGCGTTTTGGTGAACTAGAAGCGTAAAACCGTAAGCTTTTAAGCTTTAAAGCGCAATTGAGTCCGATTTTATACACTTAAGTTTTTATATGGAAACGAAATCGTTTTTGTAACCTAAAAGCCTAAAATCGTAAGTTTTTAAGTTTTAAAGCGCGATTTTGACTGCATTGCCTGTTCCTAATATGTCTTTTGGAAACAGGTATGGCGATGGAGCAGGTTTATTTAGAAGCCACCTATTCGGCCGACCGACGATCATAGCATTTGCGCCGGCGGTGAGCAAGTACATGTACCAGAAAGACGACGAAGTTTTGTCGCCAATGCTATCAACCGGCCCGATGCTCTTCGAAGAATCGCATCCCTCGTCCAGCCCAACTTAGTTGCTGCCTTGCAATCCTGGGCCCAGACTGGCAGAGTCAACGCTTACAAACAAGTCAAGAAGGTAACATAAATCCCGATATTATCCAGAAATAACAAGTTAACAACGTTTAATTTTTTTTTTAATAAAATAGCACCCATACTCGAAAAGTCGAGAATCCCTAGGTGGAGGCGCGGTTTTAAACAAAAACCGCTTGGGTCAGGAACGGTTTTGTAGACCGCTTGGGTCCGGGGTGGTTTGGTCCAAAACAGCTGCTCGATCCAACGGTTTGGTCCATATAATTTTTTTTTTGAAAAATCAAATTTGGATGGAAACTTCAAACGAATGTATCTTTGTTAGCGAATTTTTTTTTATTCCGCATAACTTTTCGAGATCTTGGAAGACGCAAACTTGATTATTTGAAAGTTGGCTGGGTGTGGGTCATCATTTTAGTCACCCATTAAATTTGGGTGAGTAGCGGATGGGTCATAATTAGCCGCAAAATCACATAATATATTAAGTCGTTAATGCACTTTCAATAATAAACCACAATTTTTCTTATTTCAAAATTTTAATTGTGATTGATTCAATTAAATTACAATTATCTTTTATAAAATTTACTTGATTTACAACAAAAAAAAATTTATTTGAAAAAATATGATAACTATCAATAAAATATTTTTGGTTCATAATTGGTGTTAGATTGTGCAATAAATTACATTTAATAGTTATCAATTTTATTGATTTTTAGTATTGATATTCAATTTGTTTTATGCAAACTTTATGGCTTATAACTATCTAATTATTTAAAGGACTAATACTATTGGGAAATCCGAACTATCAAGAAAGCGTCACTTGTGTCCCGAACTATTTATATGTCATTTATGTCTTTAACTATATTTTCGTAAGTGTTGACCGAGTTTGACCGTCACTATTTTAACAAAAAACTTAGTGAGTATCGACGTTGCATCTTATATAAAATTTTAAATATTATTTATATTTTCATCTAAAATGACCGAAATAAAAAAAATAAAAATTTAAAAAAATCTCCAAATCGTCTTAATCGCTCTGTCGATTATGCTCCTAAGTCAACATTAAGTTGACCATGTTGGTCAACCGTTATCTATAACGGTTAACGAAATTGTCAGGACATAAATGACGCACAACTATCATACGTTGGGACACAAATGGAATATTGAATAGTTCGGGACACAAATGACACTTTCTTGATATTTCGGGTTTCCCAGTGGTACTAGCCCTTATTTAAAAATGATTTGACCCATCAAAACTGTCATACCTACCCACCGTCTGCTGTCACCCACCTAATCCACCCACAACGATACAAATGGGTGGGTGTGAGTCATTTTCTCATCACCTAGATACCATAACAATGGGTGGGTGGATTTTGCCCCAAAACCCACCCAACCCAGCCATTGCCCATCGCTAGATTTACGAGAATGAAAAATCAGTTTTAGTGAAAGTTCAAAATGCGTACTACAACTTACGCTTTTACACGTTTAGACGCTAATGTTTGTTTTTTAAATAACACGTTTTGTACGTTAAGCCTCTACTTTATGATGTTACCCTAGTGTTTTTTAGTTTTTATTCACTAACAAAGAGAAACAAGTTATCGGAATTGGTAGGTGACATTTGAGAACATAGGAAGGCTGTTTGCAAGTTTGGAGCCAGGGCCAGAGTTAGCCGCCATCGACGAACTATTCAACGGTATATTGAAAGGGGTTAGAGCTCAATCTCTCAGGCTTCCTGAAACTGCATGCTTATCACCACGCCCTTCAGGTTGCACATCTAATATATAAAATCTCGTACCGCATTATATCGCCAATGTTGTTCGAGGTTGGATTTACTGAAGGTGGATCCACGAATTGTTCGATGGTGGTAGTGCCGGAAGAAAGCGATTGATATATTCAAGAAAGAGGTGGAGAAAAGGAAAAAGATGGAGCTAGCTAGATGCACTACAAAAAAGAGGAGGTTTGGGGACGACAAAAGTCGTCCCCGAAAATAGGAAAAATCGTCCCTAGAATTTTTGGGGACGACTAAGTCGTCTCCAATAAGTGGTTCCCTATACTCTTGTCCTCTATATTTTTGGGAACGACAAAAATGTAGGTCGTCCCCATTACTAGGGACGACAGTCGTCCCCGATACGCGCAAGTCACCGTCTCGTGTCTTGTCCATGAAGGACAATATGTCGTCCCCATAGTTATAACTTTAGTGACAACAAGTCGTCCACATAGCTATAACTTTAGCGACAATAAGTTGCCCCCTAAACATCATTTCTAGGGACAAACTGTTGTCCCACATAATTGATTTCATAATTGCATTGGACCAATATGGGGATAATTTGTTGTCCCCTTTTCTTTTTATAAGATCGACGTGTCGTTCCTATAGGTGTCAAATTAGAGTCCAAAATTCGTCCCCAAAAGCTTTCTTCAAGGACTACGAGTGGTTTCCTATACTATATCTTTAGAGACGACAAGTTGTCACCTATGACTTTTAGGGACAAACAATTGTCCCTAAACTTGTGTATTGGGGGACGAGGAGTTGTCACTTATACGCCTTTCGGGAACAACTAATTGTCCCCTGTGTAATTCGTATGAATGACCTATTGTCCCTTAGCATGTGTCTTTGGGACGACTAATTGTTCCCTGTATCACTTGTGGGGACGATCAATTGTCCCTTAAACTATATTTTTTGGGACGCCTAATTGTCACTTATTAACTGGTAGGGACCGCCAATCATCCCTTAACAAGTGTCTTTAGGGGCGTCAATCTGTAACGTACATAACTTTTAGGGACAACCAATTGTCTTTAGCCTTTATCTTTGGGGACGACTCATTGTCACCCATATAATATTTTGGGACACCATATTGTCCCTTAAGTGGTAGCATAAGGGACGCTGAAATCTCGTCTACATAAATTATAGGGACGACTAGGGGTCACTTAAACGGTGTCTTTAGGGACGAGAGATTGTCACATTTGTAATTTATGGGAACGATCATGTGTCCCTTCACCAATATCTTAGGAGGCGACAATATAGCAAAATGTCATAAAATCATCTCCATAAAAGTGCAATAAAACTAAACTACTACAATGTCATCTCATCCAACACTAGAAAAACCAACATTCATAGTTTGAAAGAATAACCATTCTCTCGTGAAACTAGAAAAATACTAAAAAAATAATAGATAACAAGTTCTAAATCCATGAATTGTTCTATTATCTCTCTTGACAAAAGTACTAACACTTAACTACTCTTTCTGCCGCACCATGCTTCCACCAACAAACTATTCTTCTCTTAGCTCCCTGAAAGTAAAATTAGAATTAGACAAAATTTAAAATTTAAATATATGGCAAGAATATCAATTGAATGAAATGGAGGCACAAACTCAATTTAGAAAAGATAAGCTATAAAATTCGTAACAATTTAAGGCTATGAAACAAATTAGCACTATACATATAGGATCACAAAAAGAATTAAAAAAAACACACGTTGAAGTTGTAGCTTGTAAATTTGGAACTCAAACTACCATAAAAGAAGAGTACTGATTCCAATTTACTAGGTAAGTTAGCTAGCTTCTTTGAATCAAAAGAAGACTCTTGAGTACCTATTTTTCTTTCTTGAGTTCGAAACCTGCTTGCATGGTGCACTTCGTTTCTTTTCTGCGCGTCTAGCCTGTAGAACGAATTTGAACGAGAATGTTAGTAATTTAAATATATTTAACCTTCAACCTTAATATTAAATTTCATACCTTGTTAGAACATTCATCCCTTGTATAATCTTCTCCATCTGTCTCTTCCAGAGTGAGAGCATCCTCCATCTAATTTTATGAGTGTGTCAATTTGATTGTGATCTTGTAAATATAATGAAACAATTCATGTATGTAACAAGATAGAAAATTGACTACTTACATGTCCACTGCGAGAAGATGATTTATGCCTTTCATTTTCTACCATTTCCATAAATTTTTCGAACCTTTGGGTTAGGGCCAGATTGTGTTTGGCTTGATCTACTAATTTTGCACTTAGGTCACCAACCTGAGCCTCCAGTTGCTCTATCTTTCCATTCTGATTGTTTGTATTCATTCCCTTTGTAGTTGACTTGTACCCAGTTCCTTTTCCACGAACATAGTCAGAACGAGCACCAAAGACCACTCTCAAGACATCCTCATTATCATTAACAGTCTCATCCACATGCATGACTTCTTCTTCTGTTCTTCATATCTCATGCTAGAATGAATTAAAAATTACTACCATGTTATTTCAAGCATAATTGGAAAAAAATTGGGAGATTAATTAGAACCAAATCCTTGATCATAGGTTGCAAGAATACATTGATACCCATACTCGGGCTATGAGGAAAAGCTATTATCATTGACATGATAAAATATGGTTGTTTCATGCACAATCAAGGAGGAAGGTTATAGGGAATAAGAACCACTAGCCATATACTATGTTGGGAGCTCATGTTGCCAAAAGGTTGGAAGCCATCTGCTGCTGCAGCCAGTCTAACGTTTCTAGGTCAGCGGGATGTCGCATTATACCATCACCACTTCTGCCCTCCTTATGCCACCTCATCTCAGAAGCTGTTTTACTTGACATAAACAACCTCTGCAACCTAGGCTTCAATGGAAAATATCGTAATACCTTGTGTGGTTTTCCCTTCCCCTTGCTGTCTATAGATGCATATCTAGGCAATTTACAAACTGGGCACGATGCTGCATCTTTATGAGGACCCCAGAATAATGTGCAACTCTTCTCGTAGACATCGTACTTCTCATAACCAAGGCCTAATTCATAAATATACTTACGAGCACTACTGAACGACTCGGGGAAATTAACCTTGCCATCAGGAATTAAGACCCTCAAAATGTCAAGTAAGTCGTCGAATGACTTGTTAGTCCACTTGTGAATACTTTTAAGATGAAGCAGTTTCACAATTGTCGATAGTTTAGTGTACTCACAGTTCGGGTACAATTTTTCCTTAGCCTCTTGGAGCAAGCGATAGAAGGTAGTAGCATCTTGATTAGGTTCTTCTTCGGCCTCTTCTGTGTCCATTGCCAAGTCTTCTTCTTCATCTCTCCTACCATACACGTCATGTAACAATCCATCCATATAATCAAGAGTATCTTCGAGCATATGGTCTTCATTCAGTTCTTGGCTACTTGTCGACTCCTGAGTATTACTGACACCTTCTCCATGGAAGTTCCAAGTTGTATAACTCTCCAACATCCCATGTTTTAGCAGATGGAATTGAACATCTGATCGACCTTTATATGCAGCGTTTCGACACTTTGTACAAGGACAACGAATGGCTTCTTTGTTGGCGGAACGAGAAAATGCGAAATCAATAAACTCATTAATGCCTTGGAAGAATCCAGGTTCTCTCCAGTTCCGTATGCTCATCCAATCCTTATTCGGAATCATCTCCATTAAAAAAATATAAATTGTCAATTATGACACAAACAAATAAATAAATAAATAAATAAATATAAAAAATTAATCATGACACCAAAAATAAATAGATGACATGATGAAAGAAACACTAAAAAAAAATTAATGGGTTGTGCAATTCAAGCATATGATTATTTGAATCTATGCACTTTTCGTGCGTACAGGCATAGGAAGAGGCTAAACTTTTCTATCAATGGTAAAAATTTGGGGAAGGGAATGATTTTTTAGCTATGATTAAGTAAAGCAATATTTACCCTAACTAAAGCTTGTTTTATATTTTCCATCCCTGAGTAAAGATTTATATATGCTAAGTATAGCCTTAAGTAAAGCAAGCATTTAGTATAACCAAAGATAGCTTCGCCCAACATAATCGGAGGAGGGGATGATTAATTGAAACTTGAGAGAAACGACAAGCAGGGATGGTGCTATGAAAACTCTCATTACAAGAAATTAGTTTACCGGAAGCTATAAATATGCTGATGGTATTGTGCTAGCTCTTCCAATTCTTCAGCTTCCTCCTTTGCTAGTATCAATACTTTTCTACGAAAGCAGGTAGCAGAATTTGATGTTCAGCACAACAAAATTCACCTATTTATAATGTAACAATAACAATCTAAATATGACTAGGAAAATCATAAACCTACCAATAAAACTCCTATTTCAGAGATAAAAAGGAAAACCTGATACCTTACATGTTCCAAGTTGAAAAGGAAAACCCAAATGGAAAAGGAAAAGGATTCCCTTATTTCCAAGATTGAAAAGGAAAAGGTTACGTTTAATTAAAATCCATTCATAATAATTAAAGTCCCATCTATGGAGAAACAAATATTGATGTGTTGCTAGCAGCTAGCGCATTGTGATAGAATTTTGCGGACAAAAAAAAATCTCACTTAATCCGCCGATGGAAAAATTAACCCCAAATTAAATATTTCTGCTGGATGTTTTTTTGGGACAATTAAACTAACTAACAAAATTAAATCCCTTATTTTTGTTAAGAGAGCTTTAACTCTCGGGTTCTGATGTACTTAATTAGTGGTCCTTAATTGTTGTTAGCCCATAATTGCCATGCGGCCCATGCAAGGTTAGGTTGCTTAGTGTAGAAACCCTAACCTAAGAGTATATATTTTGCAGAGAGAGGGCAGCCGAATGATCTGGGTTTTTTTTTGTCTCTCGTCTGATATTTTTTATAGGGTAATATCTATTTTTTATCCAAATCTTTTTTGGATTCTTTTTTATTAGCCAAACCTATCGAAATACTAAGAGTTAACCAAATGTTAACTTTCAGTTAGCAATTTTGTTAGTAATATTGACTTGGCAACATGATACTGACTTGGAAAAGACACATGAAGGTAAACATTCCAAATTTTTGGTATTTTAACTAAGAAAAGTGTTACAAAATTATTAAGATAACGTACAAATGGCTAATATTTTGATGCATTACTAAAGATTTGGCTAATTAATAGCATTTTAACAGGCTTGGATAATATAAAAGAATTTAAAAAAGGTTTGGATAAAAAATAGACATTACCCTTTTTTATATAGTGAAGTCGTAGATTGAAGAGCTCTAGCTCTTCCGTGGATTAGTCCTGGAATTCCAGGGATACCACGTTAAATCGATTTGTCTCGTTATCGCGTTTGTGATTGTCATTTCGTAACATGTTATCAGAGCCTCAAGCCATGGAATTAGATAAATCAGTTGTCCGCCTCTCCCCCACGAATTTTCCTCTCTGGGAGTTTCAGTTCCGCGTGTTCGTGGAAGGGAGAGGATTGCTCGGCATCCTTGATGGGACTAAGCCTCGACCTGCCGAGAACGCCGCCACTGCTCAAGATATCGCTACCTGGAATCAGAATGACGCCCGAATACGCTCGTGGTTGCTGGGATGTGTTGATCCATCCACTTGTCTAAGCCTACGTCTCTTCCCGACTGCAAATCGCATGTGGCGCCCAGTGGCAGACCCAAGATTGTCGAAGAGGGGTGTCGCCGAAAAAAATAAAAAAATAAAAAATAATAAAAAAATAAAAATTATTAGAAATTAATTCATAAGTTCATAATGTCACGTTTACAACTAACCACGACGACTTTTCATATTCTGAAATGTTTCTAGAATACATTCATCTCTTAAGTTGCAAAATATAGCTTTTTCAATATGCACAACTAAACAATCATTCATAAATTGGTCACTCAACCGATTCCGAAGATCGTTCTTGATGATCTTCATAGCTGAAAATGCTCTTTCACAGCTTGCGGTTGCAACAGGTAAAGTCAAAACCAACTTCAGAAGCAAGAAAACTAAAGGATATAAAGTATCCTTTTCTCTCTCCACCAATTTTCTAGCTAGCTCGTCGATTCCCCGCAATCCATCAAAGCTCTTATCTTCCTTGACATGAGAAATGTAGCCCCTTAATTGTTGATCAAGTCTTGAGTGCACATTGGATGGGAATTCCTCAAGATAAAACTCAGTAAGACTCATCAACTTTGCTTTATCAAAAGCAGCAAAAGAGTTAGTTGGACTAAAACAAGAAATGCAATCCAACAATCGAGTATTCACCTCACCAAATCGAGTATTCAATTCTTGCAATTGCATATCAATGACTTCATAAAATAGCTCGACTTGATAGTAATGCAAGTTTGTGGGCTGATGAGGGGTACTACGCCTTGTTCTTCCAGCAAGAGTGAACAAGTCATTCATATTAGGAACATTAATTTGTTCCTTAATGCATAATGAAATCACATCATTGATGACTCGGTATTTGCACATGTTTTCCCCTTTGTTTCTTGATTGTTTGAGCTTGAATTATTGTGTCTTTGGCCTATTTTACGCTAGGTTGTGTTCCTTTGTCATATTTCAGGTCCTAGCACATAAATTGAAGCATAGGCGCAAGTTTCAAGTCAATCAGAGATCAATTGGCGATTCGGGAGAAGAAACTCGGGCATGACCTGAATAAGAATGGATTTCTACCTCACTTTATGGACAAAGAATCATGCAAGCTTGTCATGAAAAGAAAGAGGACGAGACTACGAGCGTCTGGGATCAAACGACGACTGATTCGGAGTCCGGACGAGGGAGAAACAAAGCATTAAACAGAGGTTGAGCAAGCCACACGGGCATCCTGGAACTCCACACGGACGTGTGGGTCGTGGCCGTGTGGAAATCACCGAGCCTTCACACGGGCAGCTGGGAAAGCCACACGGCCGTGTGGCCTGGCCGCGTGATCGGGAATTCCTGTTTAAAACCCGATTTTCAGCAAAAGGAAAGGGGAGAGTTGGGTTTTTGGTTCCCAAACACCCAAGGGACGAACCCTAGAGAGAGAGAGCGATTTGGGAACATTCATGGAGCTATTTTGGAGGATTTCTTCGCCATTGGAGCTCGGGAATCAAGCTTGGAGATGGAGATTGAAGATCTAGATCAGATTTCTGCAGTCTCTCTCTTCTCTATGGATTAACTTCCCTTCACTTAGGTTTTGAGGAACCCTAGTTGCATGAGTTAGGATCTTTCTTGTATGAAGTTTTGGATGGTATATTTTTTTATTATAATCGATTGAGGCATGATTTATTGATTCAATTGAATCTTGATCAAATTCTCTTGATTTCTGCTTTAACCTATGATAGATAGAATCTGATTAGGTTAAGAGAGCTTCCTTGATTGATAGTGGTGAATTGGTTGTGCGAGAGTCAATCAATTCACTGCTTTGTACTGGAATTCATTCCAGTAGTGGAGTTCTGTTTTCATAGCTTCAGCTTTCTATCCTGGTGAAGACTAGTCGTCTGCCGGGTAGTTGGACTGAGAGGGATTGGTCAGCTTAAGAGATTCCAAGCTAATTTAGGATCTTCCGCAGTTTAATCAACAGTAGATCAACCAAAGGTAATTGCAACTTGGACCTAATTCAGGAGCTAGGGGGAATCATACCTAAGTGAGTTCCCAACTTGTAATTAGTAGAGTAGTTAGTAGAGTAGTTTAGTAAATCAATCCTTAATCTAGTTTGCTAGATAATGAACTGAAGCTGAGTAATAGTAACTCTAGAGACCCGTGGATTCGATATTTATTACTTGTGCCACTATACTGCAATCCCTTTCATTGGTTACACTTGGCCATTGTTAGTGTTGATATGACTTGAATCGGACTATCAGCTGCTACGACTGGTAATCGGGGGTCTCGCTGTTATTTGGGTTCGGGTTCTGGGCCTGATCTGTAACCGTTTCTTTTGTCAGATTGGATTAGGTTTAGACCCACATGGAGAAGTACTATATATACTTCTCATACACCTCTGTAATCTGTAATCTCCTTGATATAGTGAAATCGGCTCTCTCTCGCCCTTGGACGTAGCTAACACACATCGTGTTAGTGAACCACGTAAATCGTGTGTCGTGTTTTCGATTCTCGCTTTCGTATTCTTGCTTTGTCGATTCCGGCGATTTCCCGATCCGTAGCAGCGCGTTTATAACAAGTGGTATCAGAGCCGCGGTTGGAAATCAGGCTAGGGTTTTCGATTCAGAAGAATGACGTCGGTGAACATGAAGATCGAAAAGTTCACGGGGAAGAACAGCTTCGCTATATGGCAGATCAAGATGCAGGTTTTATTAAAATAGCAAGGGCTGTGGGGGCCGCTGTCTGCGAAACAGAAGAAGGCAGCGGTCGATGACGATGAGTGGAATACCCTGGAGGAGAAGGCCCACTCGACCATCATGCTATCGTTGTCTGATGACGTCATCATTGAAGTCGCTTGACACGCCAAAACACAACACCAAACTGCGACCAAGTGTAATCGCAATCCGGGAATGCAGTAACAGGCAAGTTCTATTATCCACCCGGGGTCTAGATCTACTGCTTACTCTGTGGTTGTTTATTATCTAGCCAACTAATTCGATTGATTGTTGTTTAAAGCAAAAGCAGTAAGAAAGCAGGAAATTATTCGGTTTTCTCAAGCAGGTAAGAGTCACTCGGGAATGAGTCCCCCTAGCCCCTTAGTTAGGTTCAATTGTAATTTCCCTGGGTTGATTTACTGTTGATTAGACTGCGAAAGATCCGACAGTAGCTTGGAATCTTTTAAGCTGACCAAGCCCTCTCAGTCTAACTACCCGGCAGACGACTAGTCTTCACCGAGATAGAAAGCTGAAGCAATAAGCACAGAACTCCACTACTGGAATTGGGGACTAGATACTATAACAACACTCCTTGTGTTGTTATTGTAACAACACTAGTCTCCAACCAATAGGAAGCTAGGGTTGTGATGACTTTTTATTAGATGAGTTGACCTAGTGTAAAATCAAAGCAGGGGTATAATTGTCATTATGAAAAATATATTTAAATAATAAAAAAAATAAAAAATATATTTTTTTATTTTTTCGGCCCAAAATTTTGGTCGCCGGAATTCTGCCACCGGTCGCCGGTCACCGGAATATGCTTGTCGTCGCCGGAATATGCTATTTTGTCATCGGAATATGCCACCGTCGCAGGAATATACTCACCGTGGTCGGAATATGCTTACCGGCGTTGGAATCTAGTCATCGGGGCCGGAATATGCCTATCGGCGCCGGAATATGCTTACTGACGGTCATCGGAGTTTGGTCAACGATTTTCGTTGACCGGTCAACGGTCAACGATTTTCGTTAACCGGTCAACGACCAACGGATGATATGGTCTGCATTGTGAGATTTATGGTTTGGTTTCTCACATTTTTGTATGCCTTTTGTGGTTTGCTTTATCGCGTTTGTGGTTTGCATTGAGAAGTTTCTGGTTTGTTTTATCGTGTTTGTGGTTTGCATTGAGAAGTTTCTGGTTTGCTTTCAAAAAATTTGTGGTTTGCATTGAGGGGTTTGTGGTTTGTTTTAGGAGATTTGTGGTATGCATTAGGAGGTTTCTGGTTTGTTTTTGTGGTATGCTTTAACGTGTTTGTGGTTTGCATTATGAGGTTTCTGGTGTGTTTTTGAAAATTCTGTGGTTTACTTTGTGAGGTTTCTGGTTTGTTTTAATACATTTTTTGTCTGCATTAGGACGTTTCTGGTTTGTTTTCGTGGTTTGCTTTACGGTGTTTATGGTTTGCGTTATTAGTTTTCTGGTGTGCTTTCAATATATTTGTGGTTTGGTTTGTGGTGTTTCTTGTTTGTTTTAGGGAATTTGTGGTATGCTTTAAGATGGATCTAAGTTCTTATTATGGTTACAACGATTTCCTTATTGGAGTTCTGATAGAGGTGATTCAAGTATTTGGTTGACTTGCTAGAATCATTAACAAAAAAAATTCTCTTCAATCTTATATAATTGGATTGTTTCATACTATTTGTTTCGTTTTACTTTCAGATGTTTCCAGTGAATGAACTCCTGGAACTTATTAATGCTTTTGAAAAGCCAAGACCTATATGTTTACGAACAAACACTTTGAAGGTGAGAAAGGCCTTCCATTGCCGGAGCCAGTTCTCTGGCCAGTTTCATGGTTAACCTCATGCTCATTGGTTTATGGTGGCTGAATCCACGTAGGCAAGAAGACGTGATTTGGCTGAGGTCCTGTTGAAAGGAGGTGTGAACTTAGACCCCTTGAGCAAATGGTCAAAAGTAAGAAAATGTTTCTGGTGTTTTTCTTGTGTGTATGTGCATATTATTGTCAACTTATGATGTTAAGATGTCATCAGGTTGGACTGGTTGTGTATGATTCACAAGTGCCAATTGGGGCTACTCCGGTACTCCCGAGTACATGGCTGGGCTCTACATGGTAATTGTGATTTGTGCAGCTTCATATTCTTCATCAAGCCAGTTTCCTGAGTTATACAGTTATAGTTTATGACTTAATAGCTATTTGATGACAGCTACAAAGTGCAAATTCATTTTTGCCTGTTATGGCTCTTGCTCCACAAGAAAAGGAGCGGATTGTCGACATGGCGTAAGTAGTAATCATTATGATTTTTTCCTCTATCAGAACTCCAATAAGAAGAGACGTCAACTCGCAGCACCGCATCCAGTCCACCGCAGCCTCCAATTGCGACTCTCTCCCTCCTCCTTCCTCCACCTCCACCGTCGCTCCCGTCAGATTCAATTAAAAAATCAAACTCATACAATCATGAAACAGTTAATATGTCGCCTCTCCCGCGTCGCTGACTCCTCCACCTAAAGCTTCCTTTGCTCCGACTCTCACCACAATCGCCGCCGCACTGCCGCCGCCGGAATAGTGGAATCGTTCATGTCGCTGCGAGGAGATCCAGCTCAGATTGAAGCCGTTGGAGAAGAATCGGCACTGTAAGTAATGGAGATCCAGCCCAAATCGAAGCTGTTGGAGAAGAATCGGCACCGTCTCTCAATAGCGGCGATCTTGCCGATGGCGAACGAGAGAGTGCGGCACCGACGGTGATCTTGCCGATGGTGGATGCGAGAGTACGAAGCGCCAATGGGGGATATCGGAGGAGAAGAGATCGAGAGACGGAAAGGGGAAGGCTGGGATTGAAATTTTATTTTTTTAATTTTATTTCTTATTTTTTGTTAATTTACCCTTTTACCCTTAATGAATCTTGTTGTTAGTATAACAACACTAAGGGTGTTGTTATACTATCCGCACCCCTGGAATTGAATTCCAGTACAAAGCAGTAAACTGGCTAACTCTCGTATAACCAATCTCCTACTATCGAATGAAGAGGCTCTAACAACCTAATCAGATTCTATCTATCTCAGGTTGCAGCAGAAATCGAGAAAAGCTGATCAGACTCCAAACAATTCAATAAACATGCATCATTCGATTAAAATCAAACACTATAATCATCCCAAGTCATTACAATCAAATCCCTAACACCAGGAACTAGGGTTCTTCACACCCAAGTGAGAGAAGGGTTCTACTCCATAGAGAGAGAGAGAAGGAAACAGTAATCGGAGTAGTCATACTCATAATGATGAGGAAAATCTGCTCGGGGATGATGATTTCCACTCCTATGACGATCTCCAAGCTCGATTTGACGAAACCCAGCTCCAAGATAGCTTCTAGGATGTGTTCTTCGTACTTTCTCTCTCTAGGGCTCTGTTTTTGCTCTCAAAATCCGATTCCCTCACTTTTGGCTGGAAATTGGCTGAAAAACCAGAATTTCCCGACTCACACGGGCAGGCCACACGGCCGTGTAGCTCACCCAGTTGCCCGTGTGAATCAAAACGCAGCGTACCATTTAATTGCCTTTCAGCCATCCCACACGGCCAGGGTCGCACGGTCGTGTGGATTTCCTGGGATGCCCGTGTTTGGCCTCGGCAAAAATCACACGGCCACAAGTGCAACTTGCACGGCCGTGTGATGTCCCGGGCTGCCCGTGCGGCTTCCTTGACACCTCGCCACGGGCCCGATCTTCGTCCAATCGACCCCAAACTCGCTCCCAAGCATCCATTCACGTACTAGGACCTGAAATATCACAATCAAGCACAACCTAGCGTGAAATCGGCCTAAAACACGAGAATCAACACCTCAAACGGTGTAAGAACAGGGGTAAAAACATGTGTAATTAACGGTCTATCATCGCTGCTGAGAAGACTGCCGCGGGCTTGTGATTGAAACTAGAGAGTCTGTACATGACTAAGTCCCTAACCAACAAGCTGCATCTCAAGCAACGGTTGTTCAGCTTGAGGATGCAAGAAGGTACGCCTTTGAGGGAACATCTCGAACAACTTAACTCTATTTTGCTGGATCTGCGTAATATAGATGTTCAAGTTGATGACGAGGATGCTGCCCTAATCCTGCTGGTTTCTTTGCCGAGTTCATATGAGAATTTCGTTGATTCTTTTATTGATGGTAAAGAAAGCATGTCGTTGGAGGATGTCAGGTCTGCTCTTCATATGAGAGAGATCAGACATAAGGCGTCCGGATCTGGTACAGTTGGTGAGGCATCGGGTTTGGCTGTTACAGGTGGAAAGGGAAAGAAGAAATCTGGTAAAGGGAATTCGAGCGAGAATTCCAAGGGTCCCGGTCCACATCCAGGTGATGCTTGTCACAACTGTAAGGAAGTGGGGCATTGGAAGTACAACTGTCCCAAGAGAAGAGGGCAACAGAAGAAACAAGGTTCAGTTGCCGTGGCAGAAGTGGACAACAGTTCTTAAGACGATCTCGCCTTGGCTGTAGATGAGAAGGCACATCGTGGTGATGTGTGGTTTCTGGATACTGCAGCCTCATATCATATGTCTCCGAACAGGGATTGCTTCACACCCTACGAGCAGATAGATGGTGGTAACGTGGTCATGGCTAATGGAGCTGTCTGCAAGGTTGTTGGATTCGGGTCCATAAAGGTTCGGACACATGATGGTTCATTCTGTACCGTGAATGATGTCAGGCATGTTCCACGAATGACAAAGAACCTGATCTCCTTGAGGCTACTCGACAGCAAGGGTTTCAGCTTCAAAGGAAAAGGTGGAGTTGTGTATGTCTGCAAGGGTTCGAGGAAGGTACTGAAGGGCGTGAAGCGTGGGACCTTGTATGCATTACAAGGGTCTGTGTTGTCTGGCTCTGCTGCAGTTGCATCTTTTCAGGTTCAACAGGAAGATATGACCACTCTCTGGCACATACTGGGGCATATGAGTGAACGGGGATGCAAGTTCTATCGAAGAGGGATCTTCTTTGCGGGCACAAGGTGCAGAATTTGGAATTCTGTGAGCATTGTGTGTTTGGGAAGCTACATCGCAGCAAGTTTCCCAAGAAGGGTATCCACCGGACGAAGGGGATACTGGATTACCTCCACTCCGATTGTTGGGGTCCTTCACGAGTTGAATCCATTGGAGGCAGCATGTATTTTCTGTCTATTATTGATGATTATTCGAGATTTACTTGGATTTTCAAGATGAAGCAGAAAAGTGAGGCTTTCACGAAGTTCAACCAGTGGAAGACATTGGTGGAGAATCAGACCGGTAAGAAGATCAAGAAGTTGCGAACGGACAATGGTCTGGAGTTCTGTAATTCTGAGTTCAATGAATTCTGCAAGGATGAAGGGATTGTCCGTCATCGGACTGTTAGAGATACATCCCAGCAGAATGGCGTTGCAGAAAGGATGAACCAGACATTGTTGGAGAGAGCACGGTGCATGCTCTCTAATGCTGGACTAGAGAGAAGATTCTGGGCAGAAGCAGTGAACATGGCGTGCTTCCTGATCAACCGTGGACCTCACACAGGTATCGAGTTGAAGACTCCTTATGAGGTGTGGTATGGTAAGCCTGCTGATTACTCTTCACTGAAAGTTTTTGGGTGTCATGTTTATTATCACGTGGATGAGGGTAAACTGAACCCAAGGGCAAAGAAGGGTGTATTTGTGGGTTACGGAGATGGAGTTAAGGGATTTCGAGTCTGGTCACCTTCTGAGCATCGAGTTATACTTAGTAGAAATGTGATATTTGATGAGAAGTCTATGTTTAACCCCATGTTGAAGGTTACTGTTGCTGAAGGTAGCAGGAATGTTGATAAGCAGGTGGAGCTGCAAACTCTCAATGAGAGTGAGTTTGAGAACCAAGGTGGTGAAGATCAACATGATGAGGATGTCTCTGCTGCAGAGCCAGAAACTTCAGAGTCCAGTGCACGAGCTAAATAGTCTATCGCTTCAGGTAGACCGAAGAGAGCGACTGCAGGAGTACCTCCACAGAGGTATGGCTTCGAGGACATGGTGGCGTATTCATTTCAGGTTGTTGAGGAAGTGGATGCAGGAGAGCCACAGTCCTATAGAGAAGCAGTTTCGGGTGGTGAAGCTGATCAGTGGCTTGCCGCAATGGGAGATGAGATGGAATCCCATGACAGGAATCACACTTGGGAGCTAGTCAAACGACCACAGGGAAGGAAGATTGTTACAAACAAGTGGATCTACAAGAAGAAGGATGGAATCACTTCTAAAGGGGGCATGAAATTTAAAGCTTGGGTGGTTGCACGAGGCTTCTCGCAGAGGGAAGGAGTTGACTACAATGAGATTTTCTCACTAGTGGTCAGACATACTTCGATCAGAGTGCTACTAGAAATAGTGGCACATTATGACTTGGAGCTCGAGCAGCTAGACGTGAAGACAACTTTCCTACATGGAGAGTTGGAGGAAGAAATTTACATGACTCAGCCAGAAGGATTCGAGGTTCCGGGAAAAGAAGACTATGTTTGTAAGCTGAAGAAGTCCTTGTATGGACTTAAGCAATCTCCGAGGCAGTGGTACAAGAGATTTGACAGTTACATGCTTGAGCTGGGCTACAACAGAAGTCCATATGATTGTTGTGTATATCAAGGCAAGGCAGAGGATGGTTCGATGATATATCTAGTTCTGTATGTGGATGATATGCTCATAGCTGCAAGGTCAAAGTCTGATATCCAGAAGTTAAAGGGGCTTCTCAGTGCTGAGTTTGAGATGAAGGATTTGGGAGCTTCTCGGAAGATCTTGGGTATGGAGATTTACAGGGACAGGTCGAAGAAGAAGCTTTTCTTGTCACAGAAGAGCTACATCCAGAAGATATTGTCGAGGTTTGGCATGTCTTCAGCAAAGCCCTTAAATACTCCTAGTGCTTCAAATGTTCATTTATCCTCAGCTTATGCACCGCAGTCAGAGGCTGAGAAGGAGTACATGTCGAGAGTCCCATATGCTAGTGCAGTAGGTAGCTTGATGTACGCTATGGTATGCACTAGACCTGATCTTGCACATGCTGTTAGTGTTGTCAGCAGGTTTATGATACAACCTGGGAAGGAGCATTGGCAGGCTGTGAAGAGGATTTTTCGGTACCTTAAGGGTACACCTGATGTGGGGATTAGCTTCGGAAGTGATACAGAGTGCTTGGTGTCTGGGTATTCTGACTCGGACTATGCTGGAGATGTTGACACGAGGAGATCGATGACCGGTTATGTATTCACTCTTGGGAGTTATGTAGTGAGCTGGAAGGCAACTCTGCATTCGGCGGTGACATTGTCTACTACTGAGGCAGAGTATATGGCGTTGACAGAAGCTGCTAAGGAGGGAATATGGTTGAAGGGACTGG